TATTATTGTAACCGACCAAGATTAATTCCTATCGGTATAACTACATGCAATATTTAAAACTTGATATATATATATATATATAATCCACGGGATGCGAAGCAACATAGTGCCTTAACCGATGAAAACTAATCACAAAATGTTGAATGTTTAGTTGTTTTTGGTCTTTAAGCTCTTTGTTTAGGTGATGATCAAAATAAGAGGGAAAAATAAGATGGAGACGAAGTATGTTTCTATGTTGAGGAAGAAGAAGATGCCAATATTTCATTTTCTTATTATGGGATATGTTTGCATTGGGGACAGCTAGCCAAGACCTACACGCGCGCTGGCTCATATGTATGAACATTAGTACACATAAAGTATTAATTATATATTTTTTTATTTCCTTCTCTCATCAGCACGATTGATCGATCGGTCGTTGGGCTTTGCACCTTAATGTGATGGTCAAACCTGTGATAGAATATTAGCCACTAAACGTGCTACGCAGTGCTATGTTTGCTTACAGTGGCTATTAGTCTAATCACAATATAATATAAATTGTGTGGGGTTAATACTATATAGCCCAGGGTTTTCGTCGTGTATAGTAGGTTGGATTATAAATTAAGCCTTGCAGGTTATTCATCTATTTTTCTTTATTTCTAGACTTGTTCTGATATACTCCCTCCGTACTTGTAAAGGAAGTCGTTTAGGACAGTAACACGGTCTCCAAAACACAACTTTAACTTCTTGTTTCTATAAAAAAATATTTATTGAAAAGTGATATATGTATACTTTTATGAAAGTATTTTTCAAGACAAATATATTTATATAATTTTTATATTTTTAAACTTAATAATTTGAGAGTTATTAATGATTTATATTTCCTAGGTTTGAATTAAATATTGCCCTAAACGACTTCTTTTGTGTGTATGGAGGGAGTATATACATTGAGTGCAATTTCGTACATAAATGCAGATTTGAAAATTTGAAATTTATTAGGACCACTTTTGGTAGCACGTCTAGACAAGGGAGATGGCAACATGGGTCCGCTCTTCGTCAACATATATGGAGGATTGTGTCTGGAGACTGGCTGGACAACCTCTAATTAAGTTACTTTCTCCGGGTTAATAATACTTGTCGTTTTGGATAAGGGCACGGTCTAAAAAACAACTTTGACTATTATTTTTCATTATAATATGTATAAAATTATTAGCAAATATATGATCTTATTAAAGTACTTTTTAAGACTAATCTATACATGTAGTCACCATATTTGAAAGACAAATATTTTAAAAATGATTCATAATCAAAGATTCTAAAGTTTGACTTCACCCTTATCAAAACGACAAGTATTATTAGCCCGGAGGGAGTAAGTTCCACCAATGGCCTCTAGCCCGCAATTTTAGTTACTATAGTTGTTTAGTTACATCTAAGATATGACTCATTTGTAGGAATTAAGTTTGTATTGGTCCCACATGTCATCTACTCTCTTATTTCCTATGTTTTAATTCTCTCGCGCTCTTTTCCCATCACTCTATTCGATCTCTCTCTTTGCACTAGAATATAGCCAACAAAACATTATAAGTGTACTCAAGAAACTTGAGTTACGACAACGGGCAGGGCAGAAGCAAGAATGGTGTTACATAGGGCCTGTTTGATAGAGCTCCAATTTCTAAATTTAGCTTTAAGAGTTGAGTTTGGAGTGGAGTTATGTGGAGCTGCTTAAACCCAGCTCCACCTCTCTAGTTCGTTTTGTGAGAGAGCCTATCCAACTCTGCTCCCATTTTAGGTGGAGCTAAAACTGTTTGGCTAGACTCTAGATCCAAGAGAGGTGAGTTGTACTAAACAGGCCCCAAAGACTACACACATACTCCTTCCGTAAGAAAAAAACCAATCTTAGGTTTGAACCTAGACGTCCAGGTTCAAACCCAGGATTGGATTTTTTTTTGACGAAGGGAGTAGACCCCTAAGCTATAAATAGTCCTTACTGAATGATATCAACGGCTCTACTCACTAACTCTATACATTATAACACAATTTAGGAAGTGTATGGGCTTATTTGGCAGAGCTCGAGCTCTAGCTTCATCTATCTTGGAGTTAGAGACTAACCAAATGGTTTCAACCCCACCCAAAAAGGGAGTGGAGCTGGCTAAAGTACACTCTCACAAAATAAACTAGAGAGGTGTAGTGAGGTTTATGCTGCTCCAAAACTTCACTGCATATCCAACTCTTGAACTTAAATTTCAAAGTTGAAAGTTGAGTAAAGTGCAGGGCTATCCCTAATTAAACTTGTGCATGTATGTCATATATATCCCTGAACTCTCAAAGTGTATTTTTGGGTCTCTAAACTTGCATTAGGTGTCATTTAGTTTCAAACGGGCTCCAACCCGCTTTGTATGTTGACGTGGCATGCCTTGGTGATGCCTATGTATCAGTGGAAACCCACATGCCAGTCGCATATAGAAAAAAATACAAACATATTTTTTCTCCTCCCGATTTTTAATTTATTTTTTCAAAACTGAAAACTTTTTTTCTCATCTCTCTCCTCTCTTTTAAAATTTTATTTTTTCTACATGGTTGGCATGTGTATCCCAATGACATGCAGGTGTCACTATGGCATGCCACGTCAGCTCATAGAGCAGGTTAGAGTCCGTTTGGAACTATATGACACTCATGATAAGTTTGAAAACCTAAAAAATGCATTTTGAAAGTTTAAGTATCTAGATGACACAGTTGTATGAGTTTAAGGACTGCCCATATACTTCACTCTTAAAAGTTAAAGCCTTACCAAAACAACTATATAATGAAGATATAGGAGAGCAATACTGTTGCTTTATGGCTACATATTCATTGTAATGTGTGATTATGATGAAAGAAAGAAAATATCTACCCATCCAAAGGCATAAAACTCAACAAAAGTTCTAAAGACTTGATTTGTGCCTAATCATTCAACACCTAAAAATAGACAGTTACTCGAAATATATATAAATAGAGTAATAGCTATTGTCAATTACCACTGTTTGGAACTAACATACTCAAAATAGTTGTTTGTGAGAGATCATGTACTCTGCATGGTAGCAGATGCATATTCCCATATCCCAGGGCCATGTTTGGTTCCATGGGCTAATTATTAGCCCCACCTTTAGCCCTGAATTACTCCCTAAGAATCCAAACAGATGGACTAATTTGAGGCTAAAGTGAATTAGCCCTCCTCAAAACATTAGCCCCTTCAAGGGGTGCTAATAATGGGGCTAATTTTCTGTAGAGACCATAAAAAAGTAGCCCTATCTCCCCTCTCTCTCTCTCATCTCTCTCTACTCTCTCTCCATCTTTTAACTCTGAATTAGCCTATGGATCTAAACATATCACTCTAGACTAATGTTTCGCCTACCAATTCAAGACTAAACATTACTCCCTCCATTCCATAATATAAGGCACAACCATTTTTTTTAGATGTTCCATAATATAAGAAATGCATGCATGTAGGCAATTAACTATGGCCCCTTTTCCATTAAATTATTACTCTCTCCATTCCAAATTGATCTACATATTTCATAGGTACACCAAGACCAAGAAAAGCTAATAACTCTCTCATGTTATATTTACTCTAGCAACATACTCAATGCATGCACCATCCCCAATATTTCCTAGCCAATAACAAATCAAGATATTGCATGTGGGTTATAAATACTTGTGTGCATGGATGCATGCATCAATGTCAATTTATTCTAATGCACAAATAACGAATAGACTCTAATAAATGAACACAATTATGTAGATAATTTAGGAATAACCTCAAAAAAACTATATGTAGATCAATTTGGAATGGAGGGAGTACTTTTTTAAATCTTCTACTCTTATGTTCTCTAATTCTATTGGATGCATGCATTGTATTTATTAGGATAATCCAAAATACAAGATGATAATAATTATTTCTTGGTCTTTGGGTTAGGAGTGGTTATACCTTATATTTTGAAATGGAGGGAGTAGCTCTCAAAATTAGCCCTGGGCTAATATTCCAAACAAGGCCCAAGTCATGTATTATAGGCTATGTTCAAACAAAACTACTTGTTAGTACATCATTAACTAAGTATTAGCTAAAATAGACTTAAAAAGTAGATTAATATTTTTTAAAAAACAATTTTCTCAAAAAAAACTTTAAAAATAATCACCGTTTAGCAATCTATAAAACATGTTTGTGAAAAATAAGAGAGTAGAAAATGAGAACTTAAACTGCGGAACACACTTATTTTTGGCTATGAGTTACATATGTATTATGTCCTACGCCAATTTCAGCCTTTTTTTTAAAACCAAAACAACAACATTCTTCTTCTTCTTCTTTACAAAATCCAAGATAACAATATGTTGGTTGGCAATGTACTCAAAGCAAAGTTGAATAGAACAGACGCGTCCAAAAAATAAAAATAAAACAGGGACACTCCAGTTCGTACGTACTTTCGATATTTTCACAACCAAAATAATTATACAAACAACATGTTAGTAGAATGATAAGATTACTGTACCGCTAACTGTTTCTACAGATTCAAATTATTTCAAAATCATTGACAGTCGACAGCGCAACTTTGAATTCCAGGACTAGTACGTGCACAAGAAAACAAAGAGTGATGGAGCGGAGTGGTACGAATTATTCAAAAAAAACATTTTATTTTACTAGCTATGACAAGAGGCACCCTCTACATAAAAAAAAATGCACACATGACCAAGCCATGAGGAAGAAGAAAAATAAAAAGGGCCCATCTTTTTTATTGCCACAATAATGACAGCAGTTTTGCCGTGCAGGCCGAAATTATTTCCTCTTGTCCCCTCCACCAGCTTTTGTTCAACCCTGTTTCTCTCCCAATTGCAAATATTGTATTTATTATTGAAAAGATTCTTTTTTTTCTTTATACTTTTGAAAGGAAAAAAAATGATATTTGCCACTATCCTGTGGGTAAGCTGTCCCCTTTGTTAGTGTTAAGCCATAAGGTGTTGTGGTGCAGCTTTCTTTATCTGTCTATTTAAGGGCTCTCATCTCCTTCTTTCCCTTCCTTCCTCTCCTTGTCCTCCTCCATCCAGCTCCTCTCAAAGTTTGAGGCTTTTTTCTTTTTTTCTTGTTTTATTTTCTTTCTTGGTAGGAGTAACAATACTAGGGTCTCTTCCTCTTTCTCTCTCTCTTTATCCAAGGAGACGAATCCAGAGGCAAAACTTCAGGTAAACTTGCATGATATGCATCTCACTCTCTGCATATTTCAGCTTCTAATTTTTGAAGATTTTTTTGTTTGTTTGTTTGGTGTGTTCTTGTTGTTCTCTAGAGGAGAGAGCTATGTTCTTTTGTGTACAAAAAGATGTGTTTTTTTTTCATGTTTTTGTATCAAAAGGACAAATCTTAGCAAAACATCGTGCCATGTTGCAAAAATTTGAGAAGATTCGATTTTTTTTAAACCAGTTCCCCTCAAATCTGCTTGAACTCTCCTTTTATCTTCAGAAAACACTCTAGCTCGAGTAAATCTGAGCAAAGATTCAAAAATTTTTAGTCAAAATCTCACAAATCCTCCGAGAAAACCTTTAGATCTACCACATAATCTCTCGAATACTTCAATATTTCACTCTCTAACGATCTCTCTTGCGTTCCTTGTTCTTGCAGGGTTTGTAAAAATTTTTTGGATCTAATCGACTAACTCCAAAAAAAAAAGAAGAAATCAGCGAGAGAGAAAAAAAAGATGAGCCACTTCGCCGCCGCCATGAAGAGCCCTCTCCCCATCGCCGCCTCCGCCGCCGTCGCCACCGGCGGCGACGGCAAGAGCCCGCTCTTCTGCCCCAAACCTCGCCGCCCCGTCGCGCCCCTCCGCTGCCACCACGACATGGATCTCCTCGACCTCCTCCTCTCCAAGGTTGCCATCCATCCATCCATCCCTCTCGCCGCCGACGAGATCGATCTCCGACGAGCTATCTCGCTGACGTTTTTTTTTTCCGATTCGCAGGGGGAGGAGACGCTGTTCTGCGGCTCGCCGCCGCGGCGCGCGTCGAACCCGGTGGTCCACGACAGCCGGTTCGGCCTCGACTGCCCGCCGATGCCGGCGTGGTCGCCGGCGCCACCGGTGGCGCCGCCGGTGGTGGTGCACCGCCCGACGCCGCGGCCGGCGGTGGCGATGCCGATGTCGTCGCCGCGCGGCAGCGGCGGGTGCACGGCGCGCGCGCGGCTCGCGTTCCAGCCGGCGGCCGTCCGCGTCGAGGGTTTTGACTGCCTCGACGGTGGCCGCGGCGGCCGCGGCCATGGCATTACCGCCATGGCCTAAGCTTGTTGCTGCACATACACCCCAAAAAAAAATAACCTAAGAAAACATCACCTCCTCTTCTTCTCCACCATGGATGCCCAAAAAAAACCACAAAAAAGCTTTTCTTGGATTCTTGGTGGAGAGGGGAGGAGAGTGAGGAGGAGAGAGATTAAGCCCTAAATTTAACCCTAAAAAAAACTACTACTACATAATCAATCCATCATCCCATCCTTCCATATAATCCCACAAGTATAATTGAGAGTTTAGGTAATTTACCAAGAAAAATCTTTTTGTATGTAAATAAATCTCAGGTGTCAAGGTCCTTGATGTAAATTCTATGGGGGGTTTAGAAAATTTAGAGGGAGGAGACAGGGACAAAAGGGGTTCATCAAGGAGAGCCCTTTTGGATTTAATCAAAAAAAATTTTTCTCTTCATCTGTCCCTGTAAACTCTCTTTGGGATTTAGTAGCTAATTGAATTAGTAGGTGGGAAGGGGGGTTGGGATTAGTTAGGTATCTGTCCCTAGTTTATTCTATCATGATGATGATGCTTATTTTTGGTTTTTGATGGAATTGTTTTTTGTCCATGCAACCAAGAAATGCAAAGGCCATGGAGATATGTACAAAAGAGTGGCTACAAGAAGAGAGTAAGAGAGCAGCTTAGCTTTAGGTTCAATCAGTGTGAGGGAGACATGAATGATGTATCTGTGAAATCTTTTTCTTTCTTTTTTGTATATTGTAATATCTTGTTGGATTTCCAATGAAGCAATCTGTATAATATGCTATGATTATCAATTATCATCACCACTACTTATAATTTTTGGATTTTTTTTCTTTTTCCTTTTCTCTCCTCTCTTAATCCCTTCCGGTGGTTGAATTGTCCATGGCAACACATGGTTTCCATGTGCCCAAGCAACATTGAGATGTGATAATGATGGAGACCTGCCAATGACTACTAATAAAGGAGCCTCTGTGACTAATCTGAGGCTGACTCATTGAGATCTTAGGGGCCATGTTAAGTAAGTAGTATATTCCAAAATTACTACACCACTTAAATCTATTTTGGTCCCTTTCCTAATGTCATTTTCACCAAGGTACGCTACTGATTTTCTGCTCAAACATCTCAATTTCTTGGGTTAGTCAATCAGCGCAGTTGACACAGCTGATTAGTGGAGTACTAGTTACTGGTACTACTCTTTTGCAGAATTTTGAAGATAAAAACTGCAGAAAAAGGGACACATGGTTTCATTTCTTTTTCACTTGTGCAAGTCAAAATCTCACTATTTCTTTCTTGTAATTCTTGTGCCGGGCAGAGCGTAGGATTGCAGCTAACTTTGTTGTATCGCTCACCTCAAAAGAAGTCTTGGGTCTGAAAAGGAGAGGGCACAGAAAGACGCAAGCAAGCAAGCAGTAGCGTGACAACTTGAGTGCACTTGAGTACAAACATATTCAGGGCATCAGAATGTAGTCTAAAACTAGTCCATAAGCAATAAAATATTATATTCAGCTACCTCACCACATTGTGAAACTAGTCCATATCAAGAAAATAGCAAAAGCTACCCATAAGCATATGGGTTGCCCATATAGAATAAAATATGTTATTTGTCTCTATTTCCTCTCTCCTCCTAATACTAGTTGCTATCTATATACATTGTGAAGATAATAGTTATAGTCCATATATGTGGGTCCTATCTATATGGACTGCTTTTGCTATATACATTGTTGTTGCCCTCAGGCATGGAGTACTGTATATCTATACTAGGGGTGGACAGAAAGCTCGTGGCTCGTTAGCTCGCTCGGCTCGTAACAGGCTCGGCTCGGCTCGTTTGAATTTTCTAACGAGCCGAGCTGGCATTTTAGCTCGTTAGAGATAACGAGCCAGCTCGAGCTGGCTCGCGAGCTGCTCGCGAGCCTTAACGAGCTAGACTCCATCACAGCCCAAAAGCCCAATACAACAAAAAAGCCCAAGCCCAAGACACTGCAAACCCTAGCTAGTCCTCACTCAATTCCCCACTCTCCCCCAGCCGCCGCCGCCGCTTCGCCTCTCCCCCAGCCGCCGCCGCCGCTCAGCCTCTCCCCAAGCCGCCGCCGTCGCTGCTCCGCCTCTCCCCCAGCCGCCGCCGCCGCCGGGAGATCGAGCACCCGTCGCCGCCAGTCTCCGCCTCTCCCCCACCAGCGCCCGCCGCCACCGGTCTCCTCCTCTCCCCCGCCAGCGCCCGCCGCCGACGGGAGATTGAGCGCCCGCCGCCGCTGGTCTCCGCCTATCCCCCACGCCAGCCGCCGCCGGGAGATCGAGCGCCAACGGCCCACCGCCGCCGATCTCCGCCTCTCCCCCAGCGATCCAGCGCCCGCTGCCGCCGGTGCCCGCCCTAGCGCCCGACGCTGCCGGCGAGCTCGAGCTCATCTCCTCCAAGTGCCGGCAGAGCTGCATCGAGTTCATCCCCTCCACCGTCGATGCCGGCGAGCTCGAGCTCGTCTCCTTCAAGTGCCGGCAGAGCTGCATCGAGTTCATCCCCTCCACCGTCGAGCTCCTCCCTGTGTCTGTGGTCGCCGGCGAGCTCGAGCTCGTTTCGTCCGCCGTCAAGCTCCTCCCCTCCTCCCAGCGTCTCTTGCCCCTAGCTCGCGAGCTTAACGAGCTGGCTCGAGCTTGTTGACGAGCCGAGCCGAGCTAGGTTTCTAGCTCGTTAGGATAACGAGCCGAGCCGAGCTAGCTCGTTATCCTAGCGAGCCAGACCGAGCCGAGCCGAGCCAGCTCGACATCCACCCCTAATCTATACCTATGCTGTGTTTAGATCCAGATCTAAACTTCAGTCATTTTACATCACATCAACCTGTCATCACACGCAACTTTTCAGTCACATCATCTCCAATTTCAACCAAAATCCAAACTTTGCGCTGAACTAAACACAGCCACAGGGATTCTTCAGTTTGGGAGGAATTTAGTTCTACAAGAATAAAATTTAGTTCTACAAGAATTTAGTAGTAACAAGGCCGTGTTTAGTTCACCTCCAACTTCCAACTTTACGTAACATCACATCACATCCAAAACTTTTCTACACACATAAACTCCTAACTTTTTTTTCAAACTACCAACTTCCCTTAAACTTTCAACTTTTTTCAGGAACTAAACACAGCTAAAGCTAAGGATTCGTCTTCGGGTGGGGAGGAATTTCATATGAGTTCTACAAGAATAAAATTCTACTATTAGAGCTTCATGGGATTAACAGTAACACACGGTTCTTGCATAAATTTGTTGGGCAAAAATGGACATCGGTGCTTGGGTTTAAATTCCAAAGGATTACATAAATCTTTTTTAGAAAAAAGAGCCCTTATAAATCATAGCTTTCACCACATGCATATTGACTTATCAACCGTAGCCAAATTATAGATTTTAAAACTTAGTACTCCTTCCGTTTCATATTACAAGACTTTCTAACATTATTCACATTCATATAAATGTTAATGAATCTATATACATATATGTCTAAATTAATTAATATTTATATAAATATGAATAATGCTAAAAAGTAATTTTTAAAGTATATTTTGATGTCTTCTCCTCGTAGTCTATTTTTCTACTCCTACATGGCCTTCTCAATCGCTAATAAGACATGTATACAAATTTTATCTATAAATTATTTTTATCTATTTCGTACATTTTTTTCTCTACAACATATTATCCTTAGCTCAATCGATAAGACTATGAAATTGAACCATGCCCGATCAATTCTTTTTACTACAGTTTCATGTACTTGAGCACATCTCATTGCGTTGACTATCCCCGAATTATTTTTCTCAGTTTTTTCAGCTCCTTTTAGTAGTATACTAGTATTTCTTTGTGAAATTTTCCCTGGTCAATTTCAATTTATTAGGAGCATGAGTTATCGGTTGCCATGATGGATTAGAGAGAGTTAACATAGCTGTCCGTCCGTCCGTGTAGTTGGTGGTTAACACGTTGTACTACTGCAGTGCAGACTGCTGGGTATCGAGTACTGACAGGTGGAGAGTGACGTGTGGGGCCCACTCGTGACTAGATCACATCTCATCCCATGCGGCCAGCAGGCCATCCCTAACCGTGTATGCAGAATAAAATAAAGTTTTGGTTCGTTATTTTATACTAGTTGTAGGACCAAAGATTCTCCGGCCATCATATTATTGTCTTCTTTCAATTATTCTGTTTTTTTAATTGTAGAAAATCACAAAACATGTATAAAAAAAAGGTGAAAATGATCGGCCCAAAATTATAGGCCTGTTTGGGGGAGCTTTAGATTCTGAGAAGCAGCTGTTTGTTAGTCAGCTTCTAAGAATCTGGAAAAGCTCTGAAACCTAGCTTCTCCAGTTTCTGGCTTCTTAGTTTATTTTTCAAAATCTGTAACTACAGATTCTCAGAAGCTGTGGACTGTTTGGGGCAGCTTCTAGCAGAAGCAGCTTTTGGAAAAAGCTGCAGCTGGGACAAGCTCCCCCAAACAGGACCATGATTGGTTGAGAAGAGAAGGTAGAGACTGAAGAATTTTATGGATTAGTTTTAATTGGTTGAGATGATGTGGTAGTTGAAGAAATAACTTTAATTTGAGATAAATCTTGAGTGGTAGAAATAGTTTTATTTTAGGATGGAGGGAGTATACTAAGTAGAAGTACTCCAGTAACTCTGCACTCTTTTGAATCATATAAAAAGAAAAAGAAATCCCTTCAAAGACCTCTGCTACATAGAATTTGTCATCAATCTACAAATTCCTTTGCAGTTTCTATGAGGTGAACAGTTTGGTAGGAATTCATAGGAGGAAAAAAAAATTGTGAGATCCAACCCTATGGTTCTTATATTATTCTTTTTCTTGTGGAGATCTTACCCCATGGAGGAATTTCGAAGAAATTATAGAGGACTTCAACTAAATCCTACAAAGGGTTTATTTGGATCAAAGGACTTTTGATTTGTAGAAAAAGTATAGGAAATTTGAAGGATTTCAATCCTATGGAAAAAAATTCCTATGAAAGCCTTTGAAACAGATGATTGAATCCTATACTATCCTTTAAAATTCCAATGGAATGGGTAATCCTATAGAGATTTTGGAGAAAAGTTAGCAAGAGGTCCAATATCTTGGAAAAATTCTATCTCTCTCATCTGATTCCTATGTTTTTCCTGTGGTCCAATCAAACGGTCATTCATGTGTTTTTCTTGTATTTTTCAATCCTCTGTTTTACACCTGCATTCCTGTCGGAATCCTGCATTTTTCCTATTCCTCCGTTTTTCTATTTCTGCGATTCAAAGGGGCCCTTAAAGGAATTTTTGTAGGAAGTGAATCCCGCAAAAACTTTTCCTATAGGATCCTTTGGAATAAAGAAATTACCTCTCACAAATTTTGTGAAATTCTTTACAAATAACCAAAACCATAAGAATTTAGAAGACTCTTAACATTTGGGTCCTATCTTTCATCTGAATCCTTTTTTTTCCGCGCAACATCTAAAAGGCGATTCCTATAGTTTTTTTATATATTTTTCCATCGTACGATTTAAATCGCTATGATATTCTAATTATGCGTTTCTCCTATTCTTATGTTTTAAGAATCACATGTTCCAAAGGAGCCCAAAAACCTTATAAAGTTTGTGTGTTTGAAGGAGAAATTACCAACAACAAAGTTCTACTATACTACAGCTGAATTTTGAATTTCAGAATCATCATTTCAATTCCATATATCTCACAGGTTTCAAAAAGGCCACTTGGTTGACTGCCTTTCTTGAGAGGGTGGAAGTAACTTTATTTCATATTATTCTTTTATCCCCAGCTCATGTGAATAAAGATGAGCCGTCGTTTGATCCCCATGAAATATATTCCGAGGAAAAAGAGAGGAGAAAAAAAGGATCCAAACGTGTCGACACCTGGCTGGTTTACTGTTTATTTCCACGTGGAAATAAGGTCACATCCAACAAGGTCAAAGGCAACAGAAATATTCAGTAAAAATTGTGCAAGTTGCTGTCTGAATCACGCACCCAGTAATCTCACAAGCTAAAAATTTAGCTTCTGATGACCTCAAAAAGTTGAAGCAGATACAACATCAAAATCTGGAGTTTACCAAAAAGTTGCACAACACACATCAACGGAACTGCCGTTTATTCATTGTAGATTTTACACAAAATAAAGCTTTCCAAGATGGAGCTATCCCTTGTACAATATCAGTCTCATAGGCACAAAAACATGACAAATTGTAAAGGAGATTAAAGAGAGAGAGAGAGAGAGAGAGAGAGAGAGAAGGCAGCATGTGTATTATTTTGTTTTTGAAATCAGACCCTTTCTTGTTTTGAAACTATGATCAACTAAAATGGTATCCCCAGAGTTGAAGCCAGGAAGCATGTTGATGAATATTGTGCATACAAGCAGAATACCAAAATTGTTTTTAACACTGGTACTCTCCCTCCAGTCACTATTCACTAATTGATGTTTGATGATGCTTGCCATGGTTGTGATATGGTTTCAGCTATACTTCACAGCCTTGCATGTAATCTGGGGCCTTCGAATTTCATCCTGGCTTTGAATCAAGCGGATCTCTAGGCTGCTGGTGGAGGGGTCAAACCCAGCTCTTTTATAGTCTTCCACAGTTCTCCTTAGGAGTGCCTGCAGAAAATTTCTGTACATATCAAAGCTTCTAGGATAATGCGAGTAAACTTCGAATCTGAATTGTCTTGCACCTAATACTTCGAAAGCAAACTTATCCTAGGCCTTAATGGCTGACTTGTCATTTGCATTGTATAGAAAAGAAAGCCTTCTACAGAACATGTTTGAGCTTAGAATAACACCTAAACTGAACCGGATTTAAACATGGTCGATGTTATATAGAAGAAAGAGGGTTGGCTACAAACAGGTAGCTGCTGATGTCAATCAATAACTGACCATTACGAACTGGGTCCAGCCTGTGATTTCAAATTCCTGTCATAGCTCTAATTACATGAAGCACATAAACCAGGAAACAGGATTGCGAATACACCATGCTGCTAAGCTAGGCATGCAAAACACATGAGCGATCTTAAGTATTAAATAGCAGCACAACTGAGATACCTGCAAACTGGATACCGCCAGTTCAGCCGCCCTCTCAAGGTTATCAGGGTATTTCTGTACAAATCAAAAGCAAAGAGAACTTAGAAGTGGTTTTAAAATGACAAGAAAATTCTATAAGAGCAATGGTAAACTTCATCTGCTTTCGAGAAAAAAATGGTAAAGTTCATCTGGGACCTACATTACTCCATCCTAGTAGAAGGGCAGTTGTTAAATCTCCAGTGCCCTGCAAAGCATTACGAATTCAGGATAAAATTTATGCAACATGAAAGTACTCGATGAAGTAGTTACTGATAGCAATGCTATCAAGACCAAGCTGGCACAGAAGTATTTGTTCAAAGGTAACAAAGAAAAGTTCCTTGCTTACTCCTTTTCTCAACCACCCCTTGATCCACTTATGTCACTTAAAACTTCACAAACACAGTCTAAAAAGGAAAAGAAAACCTAGCCTAGTTTGTGTCTAACCTTGAGACAAGAAATATGCTTTTCTTCATATTAGAGCACTTTTTGGTTGTGCAGCGTTTATAGATATTATGTAGGGTTATTCTTCAACACTACGGCTTTGCCCACACCCTGATATCAAGATCAGCTATGGCAATCTGTTACCTACACAGTGACCTAGATGTTGACTATGAAACCACAAAAAAAGAGCATGGAAAATTACGTCAATATTAGAAAGGATCCCTCTGTCACCACAGTTGAGTGCATACCGTGAAATATGCAGGTATCTTGGGTATCTCAATCTTAAATTGTTCTGGTGGTTGTTCCTGAAAATCAAGACAATAAATTGCCATATGAAGAACAAACTGGAACAATAATATGGATTCAACTTAAAATCATTCCAATGCACCAATTACACAAATAAAACATAAATTGTACTAAAACTGAATCATATATCATCAGGTGTTGACAGCATTCTCAATGGAAATAGCTGGTGCCATTTCTTTTATCCCTATCCTGTTGCATTTTGTTGTAATTGGGAAATATGAATAACTGGTAATCATTTATGAACGAATTATGGTTTTCTGAATTTGTTTTTCTGTGTTACAAGACACCTTGATGAGGAACCTCTACCAGATAGATAATAGCTTTGTCACCACTAAATAGCTAGCAGGACTGAACGCCTGGAACAGATAAACCTCTGCTGTCCCATGATTAAACGTATCTCATTCCATGATGAGGGTTTTAAAAGCTGAAAACTGGATATTCTGGTAAGAAACAAGGGGATTTCAAAAATTTTCCAACTTTTGTACTTTGGCAAGGAACCTGGTTTACACATCAACCTGACAATAGTTCAATACTGTGTACCTAACCTAGTTGACAACTATTCATGAGTACATGTATATATGATAAATCACATCCCTGAGACATCCTGCCGCATGAACTGGCCAGCAGCTCCCAGTAGAGAACATAAATAGCATTGCAAGAGACATAGGGCTCGAATAAGATATGCAAATAAGATTGCTTTTAGGATTTGCTGTCTCCATAAATTGCCAGCATAAGTGTATCTATTGTGTTCTACTCACAATTCCCATTAGGCTTCCTAGGTAAGATAACTTTTGCTGAATAACTGTAGACCAGTAAGTTTTCCGTCTTCAATTGCAGCACACTGACAGCATGTGCAAAGATGTTGATCACATAAACGTTAAAAGTTTACCTTTGCTTTTTTGTGGCTTCCAATGAGGAGCAGCTTATCTTCAATAAGTGCACTAGTTATTACCACCTGAAGGATCATGACAATCAAACAAGTAAATAAACTAGTGACTGCACAGGGGGATCATATGACCCAAAACACTGAATACTTCTCTTGGTTTAACTATCAATCAGATAAGGGTCAAACCTTTCGCGGTCCAGCACTATGTAGCGCATTGCAAGCTTTCAAGCCATCTTCTTCACAGGTAATCCTATCCACTATAAATAATTAGCTCCCTGGTACTAGGTGACAAATAATATAGAAGTCACAGAACGAGACTGGATTTTCCCATAAAAATGGACCTTTCAGACCAAATCAGCAGTAAGCATATTGACAAGCTTTGCTTCTGAAAAGAATTTGTGTGATAATTGTGCTAAGATAACTAGATAAGTTTTTGTGGTATATGAACATAACAAAGAATTACTTGTTTTCTTTTTTACCAAAAGAAGAGCATGACTACCTTAAACCAGTGAGTAGTTCAACTTCAAATTGGTTAGGTGTAAGCATTGTAGCAACTGGGACAACCTAAGGATGATTAGATCACAAAATGAATGTATTAGGATAAGTAATCATATATGGGGGCATGTGCAAGAATTAGAGCATGCTTAAGAATCATGAGAAATAAAATAACATATTTGAAATGACAGACTCTGGCCTAGAGTTTTTCACTTGATAACTAGATCAGCAAAAGTGAACACAAGCTAAGAAGACCAACTTCTGAACACAAGGTGCACAGCTTGGGCTGCTTGGTCCTAACTTACTAACCAATTCCTCTTTGCTCAGAGGGGTTCTAAAGTGTAATCACTTGTTAAAGAGATGTACTTTAACTGTTGCATTCTATTCCCTCAGTTCTTTTTATGTGACGTTGGCTAGTCAAATTTGAACTAGCCAGCATCATACATATAAAGATGGAGGTGGTATAACAAAAGGTAGCAATTCAGTCAAGTGAAGGGATTTGCTTATAGAGGTTGCTCACACACCATGTCGGAAAACAGTCAAAGCTTTCATTTTTACAATCAGCAGCTTTTACATGCCCAAATGCCCAACAATAAGAAATTTCCAGCATTTTATATTTAGCGACTTGAATGGATTAAATCACCTTCTGTTGATAAACAGATATTAAATCCTGAGGGACATATAGTTTCCCTTCATCACCTAGAACCGGGTCACAAACTGCAGAACATTAGCAAACAGATATCAGTCATTCGTAATCAGTCTTGAGCTATGACACAATTGCCCTATAAAATTTGGTAGAGACAAAACACCATAGAGAAGAATAGATAATGAAAGATGAGAAAAGATTACCATATACAAGATCAGGATTGACTGATCGTAATTTGTCAACAACTTGTAGTACAGTAGTTAAAAAGGAAACAGATCCAATATAACCTGAATACCATAAACATCATGTTACTTTTTGTTAAAACACACAAACCTTATTTGGCAGTACAAAGGAGATGGCTAACCGGTATGCATGCCATTGTGATGAAAACATCACCAGAAACAGGAGAGCTTTTTTTTTCTTTGACAAAGGATGGGAAAGTGTAAAATGAAGAAGAAGTCATTCACCTGTTAATAAATGGGTATAATGCAATAAATCGTTTTCCGCCAGCCCTTCAATAAGATCCCACAGCTGACTGCCGTTGAGGACCTGTCCTCTAAATGTTGGGTACCCTGGGATATGAAATAACAGGGAATTATTCAGGTGTGTCAAAGATTGCACGTGCGATGTTGAACGAAGCGCAGCCCACCTCTACCTGTATGATTAGAAAACTGTACCGAGTTTATCGGATCCACATCAAAGCCCAGGAGTTGCAGGGGAAAGACTGCTGATTTGTTGCCAACGTATCCCTAAATTAAAAAAAAAAGGCAGGCCCAACAGACCATACATATCAAAGCGAAAAACTAAAACATAATTCACTACTTGTAAAACAAATCCATCATACACTAAAGAATTCCCCAAAACAACTCAACCAAGTTGTATTCTATGTCAAGGAACTTGCTTCCTGAACTCTCATCTCATCTCATCTCACAGAAGGACAAAGCAGCCTTGGTCGCAAGCTCTGCGCAATCCGATTTAGCAAGCGCTAACGATTTTACTCACATCCTTCATTTTCCCACATACATTATCACAACCAGAGTAACACACCCACAAGAGGCCTAAACTAAACACCTGCACATGTAAAAGCATCCCCAAAAAAAAAAAAAACCACACATCTTGAGAGCACATCACATCTTTGGAGCACAACTCCAAGAACCTCAGATTTGCTCCCGAACCCACTCGATATATATACGCTTCCATGGAATGAGGAATGAAGAGCAGATTGGGATTGAGGGGGGGAAGAAGAAGGAACCTGGACGGTGTGGGACTGGATGCTGAGCACGCGTCCCGTGTCGGAGGGAAGCGCGACGGAGAGCACCGGCGGCCGCGCCATCGCCGTCCTCCGCCGCCGCAGCAACCACCTCTCCTCCCTACAAACAAACAAAAATACCAACACGAGCTCACCAATCAATCCCTCCTCCTCCTCCTCCTCCTCCTCCTCCTAGTCAACAATGGCTACAGGACGGACGAAGCAGAGGGAGAGGAAGGAGAGGTCAAATCATCCAACCTAATCACCTTGACTAACAACTTACTAACCCCAGTTAGTATTATTATTCGTATTAAAATATCAATCCACGCCCACCCTGACCCACCTCAGGAAGAAGAAGAAGAAGCTGGGGCGCGGGGACGACCACCACGAGGGGCACGTGGGGTGGAGGAGCGGCGGCGACGGCACGGCGACGGCGGTCATGCGACGGCGGCGGCGGCGGCGGCGGCGGAGAGGGAGAGGAGAGTGTGTGGTAGGGATGATATGGCGTGATCTGGACCGTCCGTAGATGATCCGACGGCTGGCAGGTACTTGGGTGGATTGGATGGCTGGAATGGACAGTTTGGGCCCAACTGGGCTGGGGCCTAGTGGGGCCCACGTAACAGGCCTAGTTAGTACTTGTGTGCGGGCCTAGTACGGAGATTTTATGGGTATTTTCAGAGAAAAAGTACACCGAAGGTCCCTCAACTTGTCATCGGGATACATAAACATCCTCGAACCGCAAAACCAGATATGCGGGGTCCGTTAACTATACAAAACCAGTAACCCGAGATTCTTCGATTGTTTTGACCCCGGTTTTGGTCTACGTGGCGGCTGAGTCAGCGTGTGACGGAGCGTGGGGCTCCTCACCGGGAGACCGCGCAGGCCCCCCTTTGCCGGTTCGGCCGGGGGCCCTGGGTGAGATTCTAAGCTCCCAGTCTGTGTGTGGAAGGTTCGCGAGAATGGAAACACACAAGACACGGGCGATGTATACAGGTTCGGGCCGCTGAGAAGCGTAATACCCTACTCCTGTGTTTTGGTGGATCTATGTATGAAGAAGCTACAAAAGAGCTGGAGAATCAGAGAGCTCTTACTCTCTCCCTCCCTGATCGTTCTGGATCCGAAAAAATCAATTCCCCTTCTAAGTGGGCAAGGTTCTCCTTTTATACCTCAAGGGGATACCACATGCACCATCTCTCTCTTTTTTGTGGGGACTTATCCTATCTTTTCATAAACAGACGGCGACTTGTATGGTTGCCGTCCGAATGACCTTCTGATGGGACGGCCCATACCTACCTCCACTTCCGCCGGAAGCAGGCGCGACGTGGGAACATGGCTGTCTGCTGACGACATGACCAGTGTCAGACCGGTCACAAATCGGTCATTCTTGTCCACCACGCGTCAGTTTATCAATCTGCAAGTTCGCCCCTCTTCATACAATGTCTTGCTTGTAATGGTTAGGATGAAGCCTGGTATATATCTGACCGGGACCAACGTGCCATCTCCAGGAGCTAACACGCCGGCTCCAGTTAGGGACAAGTGCTTGGAGACTCTCATCCTGACGGGATGGGGCGAGGCGTGCGTCAGACCGCCTGTCGCCACCTAACCCACGATCTGATCGGTCTATGACTAGTCACTGACCGGATAAACGACCGCGCTTCACTGCGTTACATGCGGCGTGACGCGCTCGTCCAAACCGCAATAAATGTGGTTAGGTGAGCCCCGCTATGCTCACCTACCCCATATACGCGGCGCAAAACCCACAAGGGGTCGGGGCGCCTCGGCCCTCGGGGCCGAGCCGGGAGCGGTCCGACCCCTCGGGGAGACAAAGAGAAGGGCGGCCGTATCACCCTCGGGCCCGACCCCCCCCCCGAGGGGGTTAGGCCACGTGGGTGATCGTGTCTGCCTCAAGTCTCTAAGTCATGATACTCCCGGTCCCATGTCACCGACAGTAGCCCCCGGCGTTATGCCAGGGCGATCGCCCTCCTCGAGGGAAGCGGTCGGGCGTGACGCCACTTCCTAAGGCCTGGTGACATGGTGGGGCCGGTCTAAAAATCGGGACAAGCCGGTTCGTTTTTCCTGGAGATATGGCGATGGCGCTTTGGTCGGCGAGCGTAATTAACGCGCGCACGAGATGTTCCATCTCGACTGCCACAGCCGCATATCCACCTCATGCACCGCAAACGGGAGAATGGGATTAGTGGAAGCGTGGGCGCGAGAAACGAGGGGGCAAGATAGTGGGCGCGAGAAACGAGGAGCCGGGCACAGCGTTGGCAAGGGTATAAGGTCGCCGAGGAAGAGATTTGCTTTCTTCCTCTCGCCATTATTCCCCTTGTCTTCGCCGCTTGCGCCCTAACTCCTTGTTTCCTGTGCCCTACCTTCGCCACACGCGCTCGCTCTTAAACATCTCTTCCTCCGGCGTCATGGCACGGGGCTCCGCTTTGCTTGATGGTAGCGTGCTGCCGCCTTCCCGCATCGTGAGCGAGAGGCAGGCCGGGCTGCCGCGCCGCTTCATGCCGGAATCTGCCACCGGCCGGGAGATAGTTACGCTGGGCGAGGGACGCCCGGCGCCATGCTACCCGGGACGGTCCGTCTTCTTCCTCCCTTTTGCAATGGCAGGGCTGGTTCCGCCATTTTCTTCTTTCTTCATGGATGTTCTGGAGTTTTACGATCTCCAGATGGCGCACCTCACCCCCAACGCGGTAATGACATTGGCCATCTTCGCGCACCTGTGCGAGATGTTCATCGGGGTGCGCCCATCCCTTCGGCTGTTCCGGTGGTTCTTCACCGTACAGCCGGTGTCGCCGCCGTCGGTGGTTGGTGGTTGCTACTTCCAGCCGCGGGGGCCGGTGCTAAACCGCTACATTCCCTGCGTCCTCCGCAAGAAGTGGGATGACTGGAAGAGCGACTGGTTCTACACCCCCCTCGCCGACGAAGCGCGCCTCCGACTTCCGAGCCAGCCTCCAGCTGGCGGGCGCCGGTAGATCTGGGAGATGGCTATGACGCCGTCCTCGACCGCCTGGCGGGCCTGCGATCCCTGGGGCTCACAGGGGCCATGGTGTACGGCGACTATCTTCGTCGCCGGATCGCGCCACTCCAGCAGCGCGCCCGGGGTGCCTGGGAGTACACCGGGTCCGAGGACTGTATGAGGACCCACCGGGGGGTCAAATGGGACTGGGTCCCCGAAGACTTCAAGGTAATGATCCAACGGGTGTTGAATCTCAGCTCCGCGGAGGCATCCCTCATCCCCCAAGGAGTCCTCCCCCTCTGCAGCGATCCAGATCGCGCCAACATCCTGACCATCATGCAGGCGGTCGGGGCGTCGGAGGAGCGGGCTCCTCGAGGCCACGATGGCTCGGGCGGGAGCCGCAGGGGGGAACAATCTACCCCGGGAGGGGGTCGTGCTTCTGGGCCCCGTGATGGGGGCTCGGGGGGCAGCCGCCCTGCCGACGTCCGAGGGAAGAGAAAGCAAGAGGGTACTTCCTCCCCATCTCCTCCCCGTGGGGGCGGGGCGGCGCGTGTCAGCAGCAGGCGCCCGGAGGGGGCCGCGCCGACGCCGCAGCCCGAGGGGGAGCGGAAGAAGAAACGGCTCCGCAAGATGGGGGGGACAGAACCATCCCGGGGAAACCTCATTTCCCCTCCAAGGTGGTCGTTTAACCGACCCCCTCGCAGGTTCGTCCCACGCCCATTGTGGCTGTATTCATTCTTCCAACACAAGTTTTCATTCACCCATCTTGTTTGTCTTCTGGCTTTTCTTCTGCTTCAGCGAGATCCCGTCGCGTCCCTCCCGCCATTCCAAGTCCGGCCAGTCTGAGGCCGAGGACCCGGCGACCACAGAGGCCCGGAGGCGGGAATCTGACCGGCGAGAAGCCGCGGATCGCCTTCGGGAAGCCGAGGAGGCCGCTCGGGAGGTCGCCCGGGCTCGCCAGACCGAGGAAGCCGCTCGGGAGGAGGCCGGACTCCGCCAGGCCGAGGCGACGACATCCTCCGAGGCGACCCGTGAAACTGACCGGCAAGAGGCCGTGGATCGCCTTCGAGAAGCCGAGGAAGCTGCCCAGGTGGCCGTCCGAGCTCGCCAAGCTGAAGAAGCCGCTCGGGAGGAGGCTAGACTTCACCAGGCCGAGGCGACAACGACTTCCGAGGCAACTCGCGGCGAGGCCGCGGGTGCATCGCTTGGGCCCACTCCCTCGTGCGACGCTCAGGACAAACCAGGTCCGGGGGACATCCCCGAGTCCGGCACGTCCATCGGCGGGCCAAGCCGCGCGGCATCCTCTTCGAGGCGGCTCTTCCCCACGCCTTCCGTTGCTCCACTGAGCGCAGAACCCCTTCTGCAGGCCTTGGCCGTCGCAAACACCACGGTGTTGGACGGGTTAAATGCCTAGGTGGAGGCGCTGCAAGCAGAGCGGGCGGAGCTCGACGCCGCATGGGCGCGTGTCGAAGAGGGGCGACGCTCGGTGGAGGCCATGGTGGAGGTGGGCCGCAAGGCACACCGCCGGCACGTCTCAGAGCTCGAAGCCCGTCGGAAGGTGCTGGGGGAGATCGCCAAGGAGGTGGAGGAGGAGCGGGGGGCTGCCCTCATCGCCACCACCGTGATGAACGAGGCGCAGGACACCCTCCGCCTTCAATACGGGAGCTGGGAGGCGGAGCTAGGGAAGAAGCTCGACGCCGCCCGGGGGGTCCTTGACGCTGCCGCTGCCCGAGAACGGCGGGCGGCGGAGACCGAGGTGGCATCCCGGCGGCGCGAAGAAGCCCTTGAGGCCCGTGCCATGGCGCTGGAAGAGCGTGCCTGCGTCGTGGAGAGGGACCTGGCGGATCGCGAGGCCGCCGTTGCCATCCGGGAGGCAACGCTGACTGCGCACGAGGCCGCCTGTGCCGAAGAGGAGTCCGCGCTCTGCCTCCGTGAGGACGCGCTCACCGAGCGGGAGCGAGATCTCGAGGAGGCCGAGGCCGCGGCGCAACGGCTGGCGGACTGCCTGTCCCTCCGCGAGGCTGCGCAAGAGGAACAAGCGCGTCGCAATCTGGAAAGTGCCCGCGCCGAGAGGGTCGCACTGAACCAGCGGGCCGCTGAACTCGAGGCGCAGGCAAGGGAGCTGGATGCAAGGGCGTGTAGCGGCGGGGCGGCCACGGGCGAAAGCGACTTAACCGCCCGCCTCGCAGCTGCCGAACACACCATCGCCGATCTGCAGGGCGCGCTAGACTCGTCCGCCGGGGAGGTCGAGGCCCTCCGCTTGGCAGGCGAGGTAGGGCCCGGCATGCTTCGGGACGCCGTCTCCCGTCTAGACCGCGCCGGCCGGCAGGCGGGCCTCTGGGGCGGGCGGACTGCGAAGTACGCCGCCAACCAGGGGGGCCTCGCCCAGCGCCTCTCGGAGATAGCCGGGACTCTCCAACGGCTCCCCGAGGAGCTCGAGAGGACGATTAAGTCATCCTCGAGGGACCTCGCCCGAGGAGCGGTGGAGCTCGTACTGGCGAGTTACCAAGCCAGGGATCCTGACTTCTTCCCATGGACGGCGCTGGACGAGTTCCC